GGCCGACATTATTGCGTGACTGTAAGAACTTGTTTGCGTTAGTTCTAGTTCAGCCGATTCCAGCAAATGAAAATGCTTACGGGTATTATAAAGATGTCAGGTGCATGACAGGGTCAAATTCAACGGTGCATGGAAGATTTGACGGGAAAATTTTCATGTTGTTGAGGAAGAGGAGGCTTTTTTTAGAGAGATAATGGCAAAATTTTTACTTCTTCATTGTGCTGGACGTTTGCTCTCGCAATTGTATTGAAAGCTAATCCGTTTTTAACGTGAAATGTAAGCTTAATAAAACCATAAAACGGGCTGTATCAAAACTTTTGAACACAAAAGTCTTAGCTTTACATGCTTTAGTTTCATCATCGTAAACTTAACCTCGGTAGCACCCTTCGCGAGTCTTCTTCGAGGGTTAAGCGAGCTTAAGCAACTACGATAACGACGACAACTTCAAAAAACAATAGGTTTAATGATCAAAACAAAAGCTCTGCACGTGCATGACGCTTTTATTAGTACTTTTCTTTGACGTCCACTACACGACTACGACGTGAAACCTCCTAATTTGACGTTTTATGGAGGACGTGGACAACATACGACGACGAATTTTCCTTCCTCTCTCTAAGCTTAAATAAAATCCTTAAGGATTCAACTCCAGGAAAAGTTGCCTGCATTTGACATATTGAGGGGATCCAAATAGACGTGATTAATCGTTTTTAGCGACGTTTTCACTGCCGTCGTCGTCGCGTTGCTTAAGGTCCCTAAGACTGGTGGACTACGCCGAAGCATCCAAATTTATGATTGGTCCGTTTCGATCCTATATCATATGGTGAGCTTTAAAACGACTGTCTTTACAAAGTGCATGCACTTAGTCGTAGACTTCTGCGTTTTCACCAGCCAGGTGATGTAGTAGATGCACAAACAATGGAGTCTTTTATTAAGGTTCTTAAATCTACACTGAGCTACGATTTCTTAAAACAAATTGACCTTGATGATATTGTAGACACCATGAAGAAGTTTCAGGAAGAGCATGATAATTGAAATTATCCCGATCTGCAAGCTTCCGCTGGTAAATCCTGCAACCATCACAGCAGGAAAATCAAAGGTCCTTTTCTGCAGCTACAATAGGTTGAAAAACGTGGCTCCGTTCAACAATGACTAAAGAAAGGTCCTAAACAGCCACAAGGAGAGAATTGACAAACTTAACAAGAAAATGAAACACGCAAAAATTATGGTGCTGTTGTGCATGGTTACACTTTTTTTGTTACTAATTCCTTTCTTGTTTTTAAAACTATTAAAACATGATTGATGAGTCATAACTGTATTAAAAAATATTGAGTTGACAACAGGTAAACCATTTTTAAAGTCCACAACCCCACAACCCCCCCGCCCCCGCCTCCAACTATACTTCAAAAGAGGTGGATTGCCCCCCCCCACTTTGAGTACTGCTCCGCAGGCCCTGTTATAACCTCTGACGTAAACTTTAATATGTCTAAGAGTACATGTTTTTAACATGTTTGCGATTGTTTCTCTTCCTGCACTGGGAGTTGGTCTATATTTATTCTAGGGAAAGAAAGTCATTGCTCATCAGTTAAAAAAAGAAAAAGATTGATCATGATTAGGTCACCATTCTTTAAAAAAAATGAAGTTTTACCTCTCTGGAGAGCGGCCCCTGTTGGTGGGTGTGGTCAGAGATGAGAGGATGAGGGGACGATAGTATATTGTCCTCTTCATATTATAATATTAATATAAAGTGAGCTTTGTTTATCATATTATATTATTTTTTCTGATAAGTGAAGTGATAACAAATGTAGAGTTACAGTTGTAAAGATTACATCACCAGGTATACTTACCCTAGTCTTTTAAACAATAGTGACTTTTCAGGTCCCTTTGCATCCCCTTATTTCGAATTTACTAATTAGAGATGGATGTATGATGGATACAAGGATTTAAGGCCAATTGTTTACCAATGTTTGAGCCAGGCAATGATGCAATCCTCTTGTGGGAGATTTGATCTAACACAGCCAAAATTATATATATTTAGCTGTTTTTAAAAGACACTGGTTCGATCAGGTGGTTCAGCCAGGTTTGAACCTGGGAGTAGTGGTGCTCGTATATGTGAACTAAACCTGAATTATGTTTAACTCTTATATTTCTTTTCTTTTTTTCACAGTCAGGCATTTACAAACATGCATCACCTCACCAGGCTTTGCCTTATTTTTAGTGGTATCATATTGTGTGTAGAAGGTGCTTCTAATTCCCATACCTGCAATTGCAACTGTGGTTACAGGTACAGCTATGGCCAACTCCTTGATGGCCATCACAGTTACAGCTGCCAACCCAAAAGAGCTGGTCAATTGAAGTTCACCGATGGTAGATTGTTTGTCTGCACTGGAAATGAATGGAAAGCCCTGCAGTATGTGAATGAATCTTCGACTACTCCCAACGTTCCTTATGGATCCAAAGCTAAGCCTGGTTTCTCATGCAAAGATATCAAGACCAAAAATAATGGAAAGCAAAATGGCATCTTTTGGATCAGATTGAATGGTACTGATACAGATTAACCTGTTCATGAAGCAGGGCTTCTGATATTTCGCGGAAAAAAACGCAAAATTTCGCGGGATTTTCAGGGGCAAATTCGCGGAAAAATCGGCCGATTTCGCGGGATTTTCGCGGGAAAAAAGTCAAAATTCGCTCACAAATCGGCCGATTTCGCGGGAGAAAAGTCAAAATTCGCAGAAAATCGGCCGATTTCGCGGGATTTCAGTGGAAAAAAGTCAAATTTCGAAGGATTTTCAGGGGCAAATTCTTAGAAAAATCGGCCAATTTCACGGGAAATTTCGGCGCGAAACTTCGCCAAGAAACAATCAGTAAAAACAGCCGATTTCGCTCGAATTTTTTTGGCAAATTTCGTTAAAATTGATCAATTTTGCGTTGATATGACCAGCGTTGCTTAACTTTTTTTTTCACAGGGATGATCATTTGCTCTTTCAACAACAGTTCGCTCGAGAAATGAACGAATGCTAAAGCTGTTAACATTATGGTTAGTGCCCAGTTTTTCGCAACGTTCATCTAAAAACGCCTGGTAGTTTGGAGACGTTGTTTACTCGTTGCAGTGACGAAGTTTCAAGATAAATTTGGACGTTTGGGGTGAATAAAACAGGTCTAATAGCCAAGATAAGTATTAAATATGTTTTGCCGACATGTATTTGGAAATATTTCTGACGGATTTCGCGGGATTTCGCGGAAATACCTGAATTTCGCGGGTCCGCGACCGCGCGAAATATCAGAAGCCCTGATTTATTGAAGGGTGTCTTGAAAGGCTTAAGGAACATAAAGACCCCTAGACCCAGAATACTCAAAAACATTAGAATAAATATTAAAATCTTTTCTTGATTTGTATTTGTAAAACCTCAAATTTCAAGCAGTTATGTCGCCTTCCTTAATAATATAGCTTCCCTAGAGGGAGTTTTCACTTTGAGTTAGATTGTTTTGGATGCCAGATTGATCCCCAGGTGGATGCATGTTTCTAGTGGCTGTTTATTTGGTGTATTTTTCGCAGTTGGGTTAATTCCTATTCAGCACCTATATTTAATCCTAAAGTGACTGTGTTCCAATATTGAAAAGATAGGATTGTTGTTGAATTACTGTAGGTGCATTATAAGTCAGGAAAGCTCACAGCGGGAGCTTGCTCTCACCAGTTTTATATTGATCTTTAAGGGGTCGTTTTTGTGAAGACATCGTTCCATTTCTGTATTTTGCAGCATATTTAAAACAAAAAACAACCTCCATGTGAGGCCACCACTCCTGATTGACCTGACTGTTTGACCACATCCCATAAAACCCACCTTAATTCTATCCCATGCATCCCTATCCAAAACACAGAAAATTTCTTAATCAAAATCTTTCTGTATGGTTAAAGTGACTATTACCTGCACTTTTTGCAGTCATTTACGTTTGCCGCTGTTTGTTCCTCATGTACTAAGCAATCTCTTGACACAATATTATACCTGCCAACTCTGATCTCACGCCTTAGGCGTGAGTCTTCTCCTGCGGGTTGAAAACTTCAATCTCATGCCGGCTCAGGCTTGCGGACCAATTTCTCACACATGATTGAAAAATGTGAGTTGTTGCCGTCTTGCTTGACACAATTTCCAAAAATATGTTAACTCAGACCCATTGTAAGGAACGAAAACCATGTTTAAAATGAATATTAAATGACAAATACCAGTTCCTCACGATCTCGAGTTTTCCCGATAACTTCGCCTTCGGCAGACTTTGGACGTCTTCGGAAGCCTTCGGAAATCTTCGGAAGACGTCGGACTTCTTCGGAAGACTTCGGACTTCTTCGGGAATCTTCGGAAATGATCGTGTCATCTTCAAAAATCCCAGCACTCCCAGGATAAAAATCTCACGCTTATATCTCAGAAAAAGTTGGCAGGTACAATGTATGGTCTGAACTGTAATGTTCAATGCATTTTAATATGTACTATAGCTATCATGATATATGTGGCACTGCAGAATAATCAAAATGTTTGCAGTACAATTTTGAAATATACTGTCAGTATTAGGTACACGTACATGCAGTAGTCAGTCACCTGAGAGGTTCCCTAAAATGGCCCCTGAGTGTGGGCTCCCGATCCTGTGGTATGTGACATATCATTCATCTTTGCATTTTGAGTGGTGGCCCATGGATCAAGGTTCTACTGTAAATACTGCAAACGATAACAAAAAATTGTTGCGTTACAAGCAGCCCCCACCACAGGAAAGTCCACTCCAGTGGTGAATCGAGGCAAGTGGCATAGGTTGCCTAACTCATCCAGATGCTGAGATTACAGGCAGGCCCACTCATGCCCTCATGCCCAGTCACATACCCAGTAACTATGGTTACATGTTTTTGGGGTGAGAGAAGATTGGTGTTAGGTTGGGGTATGCAAGCTGACTCATCGGAAGGGACAAAGAACAAATAGCATCACTATTTTTGCTTCATCCCTTCCCATGAGTCCCCACACACCTCAACCTAACATCAATCTTCTCTCACCCCCAAAAACATATACCGGTAAATCGTGACCGGGTACAAGTCTGCAGAGGCCCTGCCGAGGTGGTGGCCTGCCCACCCATCCTATTGTACTCCCCCGAGACTTAAGGTGAAAACAATCATGTACGTGAAACACATCTGTCCAAGAGCTAGAGTGTTACATTGACTCAGTCAAACTATATGAAACATCATAATTGCTTTAACATTGCTGAAACCTCTTTTTATTTGCAGATAAGGAAACATCTTTTCCAGTTTACTGTGATATGGTTGCTGGAGGTAAGTAATTTGTTTATGTTCATTGATTTTTTTAAAACATACAAGGTTTAATTTTTAACCCATGAATTACCATAGAGATCTGATCTTGTTTTTGTTGAACAATATATTTTAATGAGTGTGTATAATATGCGAGCCATGCGAGTCAACATGTGAGTCAACATGCGAGCCACGCGAGTCATGCGAGTCAGCATAAAATAACTTTGTTTTTAACGTAAACTACTAAGTAACGTATCTATTCCAAAGGCAGGTCCTTTAAAATTCAGCTTCAGAAAAATTCGCCAACATACAAATTGAACGAGGTGAAACAATAACAAAGGTTTGAGAATGTGTTAAACAAAGGTTTAAAGGTTCTTCCTCGGTCACGTTTAATGAGTCACACCATATGTGGTAAACCACGTGACCAGAACATAAAAAACACTCTTTAAAACCCAAACGTCTTGCGTCTTTCATAATAAAACCAATGCCAATGGCTTAAGAATATCGCGATAAAAAATCTGACTTACTAACAAGTTTAACGTTCCTTCTCAAAATTCACAGTTATTGAAAAAGCTATGACGTCATTGAGGGGTATTTTCGTTAGCGAGTCAACATTTTACGAGTTTATTCCTTGCGATTTACTTAAGATGTTTCTTTTCTTCAAGTTTATACACTCGATAAAATTGCGGGCGACATGACTTAGGACTCATGACTTCGGGCGAGATGACTTTCGGGCGACTTGACCGGTTACCTTTTCATACATTTTCTTTAAAAGACTTTCTTGCTGTCGTCTGAACGCTAATTTCATGCTACAAATGTTAAAAAAGTTAAATAGCTTATGATTCGACAAAAAATGGATTCTCTTTCCTTCGAACTTCTGTCTCGCATGGCTCACATGATGACTCGCATGACTCGCATGACTCACATGTTGACTCGCATGACTCGCTGGCTCGCTGGCTCGCAGTTTGTCAAGACCCTATTTTAATTAACATACATTAAAGAAAAAATGAGCAGTCCAGACAAAACTGAAAGTTAGGAGCAATAGATTATTTCACAATGAATTAAAATAGCTTAATTGTCTTAACCTACTGGAGGCTCTGTCTGGACCCTTACATTAGACCAAAAGGTTGTCGGTGAGCACTTCGGAGATCAGAACATCATGTCATTTTAACCCCAGAGGAGATCCTTCTATAACTGGTCGCTATGAAGTATTCTCAGCTATAGTTGATGCATGGTATGGGTATACTCAACATCACTATTACAAAGAATCTGTAGCTACCACAACACATTTTACTCTCCATTATATGGAACAATACCCTGCAATGATAATGCCCCCAGTGGTGTGCAAGAAAAACATTTTCCACTCATTTCGTTACACTCAGCCAGTGGAAAAGTACTCTTTTCTAGCTCCTGTGATCTTATTCTTCACACAACTTCAATTTTTTTAAACTCTTTTATTACGGCTTTGACATGTTCAATGCCAGCACTTGCTTTCAGTCACCACAATAATTGTGGATGGGTAAATTAAATTATTGTGTACTATATGATTCTATTTTTATTGATTCTTGGAATGCAATAGTGTGTATCTAAATTTGTCAACTACTTTTAGGCTGGACCATGGTATTTAAGGCTGTGTCTGGAGTGAAAGAAAATGTGTATAGTACATACACCTCTGGTCAGACATACCATGAGAAAGTGCTTGCAGCTCTTGACGTCACTAACAGTTACTTTAATGACTACAAGAACAGGATTGTTTTGAAGTGGAAAGATTTTGGAGCATCAGAGGTAAAATTTGTTTAGTGCTACTAATAAAATACATCTATGTGATTAAAATTACAAATGCAAAGGATGAAAATTAAGTTGTAACTCAGAGTTTCACACACTTAGGCAATGGTCTTAAAGTGCTATGAAACTAATTTTCATCTTCTCTATTTCACTCTGTATTTTCATGCAAATAATTGATAGCACTCCTAGGATAAGTGCATAAACTATATATATATATATATACATATTTTTTTTTTTTTTCATTACACCCAGGCATCCCAATCTCACATGTAATTTGCTTTCTCACAAGAGAGTCGGTGTCACGTTACAGGAGACCACTGACACATTGTATGAGAAATTAAATGCTGAGATTTACGAACAGTAAATATACATGATATTTTACCTTAAAATGTAAATAAAGAAGACTTACCTTTGATGTATTCCTGTGTTTTTTGGTGTGAATTCTTTGATTTAGTCAACGTTTTGGCTCTGTTGAACCCTGTGGCTTAATTCACAAGAAGATTGTGGAGTAATTATAAATTTCCTTTATTCATTTAACAAAAAAAAAATTATAATTTTATTAAATAAAAATTTTGAGTTCTTGGAACACTTAATATCGTTATAATCCTTTTTTTCTTTTTTTTTTCTATAAAATAGATAAAAGAGACTTACTTTGTCTTATACATTTAGTATATAGAGAGTATTAAGAAAATCAATAATTTGTTCTTGTTGTATGGACTTGTAACTGCATACTGTTTATGTCCCCCCTTTCTTAATGTCCTATAAAAAAACTTTTGTACCCTTCTCAGACAACATGTCAATGGTCACCTGTAACGTGACATCGACTCTCTTGTGAGAAAGTAAATTACATTTCACTCTCATAATGTGAGCTTGGGATGCCTGTGGTCATTAAAATTATACCCCTGAGTATGTGGTGAGTAATGGACTTTGACTTTTTACATTATTAGGTGGCAGTATAAATGAATAGTGCTTGCTAACCTTCAACACAAAGTTTTATTTTCTCAATAACAGTTTATTTTTTGCTTACATTATGTGACTTATGTACATGTCAAATTTTTAAAGGTATGCATAAGCTGTAAATCAAACTATTTAATGTAGGGCTTTTTCCCTTTTATAATTGGAATCAAAGGTGAGAATTTAATTTCCCGGTAAATCCAGACTCGGAATTCATTGTAAGTGTACCCAAGTTCTTTAAAATTCTTGTCATTAAAACTAGTATTAAAACACACCGAACCCAAGAGATCAATTGTACAAATCATTTCCATCAACATTTACATTCACATTTATATTATTTTACACATTTTCATAAATTTATTAAGTCCACACATGTACTTAAGATTAATTTTAGTGCTCCTGTCGCTGCCAGTTCAGCATAAAGATCCATAAATTTATTGCTATTTACGGCAGATATAGCGCCTGGAAAGAATCCATTTTTATTTACCTTTCCCTTGAGGAGCTTTGAGGTACCGTTCTTGAACAATATACCATCAAAAGAAAATTAATGTTCCAAAGAAAATAGGATAAAATGGTTAAAGTAACGGAAGATGGTTTTTTATTTAGCTGCGGAAACAGGCAAAGTGTTAAAGTGAACACTGAGATGTCACTTGTTAATTCTTAAAAATGGAAATTTGTCGTTCACATTAGAATTTTCTTTCCCCTCCTTCCCGACGATTGTTTGTGCTCTCTGAGAGGATTGATGCCAGTTTTCGGGGGCCATTTCGTTTATCGCTTCTACTCCTTGGAAGGCCTCATTACTGGAAAGTTTTGACCATTACTAAGAAACACTTCAATTCTAAAAACTACTCTGACTTATTGAATTTTAATGTTTTTCTTTTTCTTCGTGTGTATATTTCATGAAGCATTTTTCTGACAAACAGCACCGTACCGTTAGTAACCTAAAGTTGAGTAAAAATCCTTGTTCATTTTATTTTATTGTGTTGCTAGTAGTCTCGAAATGGACTTACTACAAGTCCCATTATTTCGCTCACGCCAGTCGTTTCAATAAATCTTCCCGTTTGTTTGTAATTTCTTTAAGGCAAGAGTTGTTCTCTATAAAGGAGGAAAGCTGATGAAGGAGCTGAAATTCAATGCTAAGGGATCGGACAAACTCAACTGGTTTTCATTGTCCAGATTGAGTCAGAGCCCCTGGTCTGATATCAAGAGTGAGCCAAAGAATTACTTTTCTATCGTTGGAAAGCCAAAAGATTATCGCCACTTCTTCATCAACAGGAACTATGGGGGATGTAGTGCTGATGCCGGGTGGATGTTGGTTTCTGGACCTGTCTTCTGCACTTGGGAGACACGTTTCTTGCCTCGCAAGAATGTTATACTGTACAGCAACAAAACTGTTTACACCAATTGGAACACTTACAGTGAGTAGAAAAAACGAGCGAACAAACAGTTGACTTCTCTTATTATTATTCTTTGCCCGTGTCATGCAAGGGCACTGGAAATGTTAATGCTGAAGGCGAAGGGAGATGATAGTGGCCCTAAAGACCAACGCTCAAACGTTTTTTAATAGTCCACACTATCAAGATGAAAATTCTCCTTTCTTGTATCCATACATTTGTCATAGCAAGGCTGGGAAGTTGTTGTTACTTGATCAAATACCCTGTGCTGCAGGTGCATTTTTTGGGCGCGGCTGGCTTTACGTATTTCCTTGAACCATGGTAGTCGCAATTAATTCTGGGAAGCGGTTTAGAGAGTATGTTTATAACGAGTATGCAATAAGGCGAAAGAAGATAATGAAGTCCCCTTGTCTTCTTTCCTCCCCTCCTCCACTTCAGCCTAACACCCACTAACTCCCATGTATGTATGTATGTATTTTGATTTTAGGCAATGTTGGAGTGGCAGATGTTATGGCAGTCTACTTGCGCTGAGGTAACAGCTTTCCAGTGCTTGTATTCGTTGAGCCTCGATGTTTTGCAACGAAAGTGAATAAAGAGTTTAAAGAACGAAAAAGCCTGACGTTAATTTTTTTCTTCTTTCTTTCAGCTCTCTCTCCCTTTTTTGCCAAACAAGTAACTAAGTTAGTGCATACATAAAAAAAGTTGAACGGCTTAAAAGAAACAACAGGAACTTAAATAGGGGCACCACTGATTTCGCTGCTTAAAACATATCATGGCAATCAATGCTTTTCCTCCGGATTGTTATTAGTTACCTGTCAAGTTAATTGTTCCTCAGTGACCAGGCTATACGTAGTTGTGACGAAAAACATACAATAAATTGGCATATTAGCAACGAATACAAGTTCAAAATAATCCTCTAAACGTCTGTATTTGGGTGGCATTAGCATTTTTTTTACCATTTTAAACAACCGAAAGGATTAAGCATTTTTCCAGCATTAAAGTAGCATTTTTCCGGAAAATAAATTTTTGTTCAGAGAATTAAAAGAAATTAGAAAAAAACTAATAAGAATACTGAAGACTTAAACTCGAAATTCAAAAAATTTGAATGCCACCCAAATACAGCGGTTAAGAGGGTGATTTTAAGAATTCGTTGCTGAATTTGCCAATTGTACGTTTTCCGTTAAGCGTTAAAACCCTAGTTGTTAAAACGTTTGGAATCAATAACAAAAGCAAGCATTTTAGAGACTTGTTGAAAGGAAGAACGAACATTTCGGTGGGAAAAGGGGGTTTTAAATTTGTAATCAGAAAGCCTATGACCCGCTCCTCTCAGTTTGGCTGTGTGCGAATGAGTCCCGAACTGGGGGGAATTCTGCCTGTCATTCTTGCGCAAACTTTCCAGTACTGTCTTCCTGTTGGATTGAGTACTTTCCCAGCTCAAAAGCGGTCGACGAAATTTCGAAATGCATGCACGTTAATTCAATCGTTAATGTTAGTAGTCTAAGAGCGAATTTCACAACTTGTCTAGAAATGTTCATTGGGTCCTAGAAAAGTAACAGTTTTGTTGGCAACTTGAAACGCAGGCATCATGGACTAAATCAATCAAAGTTTGCCGGCTTCTCAAAACAACAGATTGACCCTGAAAATAATTAATTAAAAGTGAAATTCACACTAAGGCCGATTTTCCTGGCACATTTAATACAACCCTGAAGAGACTGATTGGTGCATTCGGAATATTTCAAAACCTACACCCATGTCTTTTTGCGAAAAAACCCCCCACCCCGCTCTCCTCGGGGTGGATGCGGGGTTGGAGGTAGGGGAATAATCCATATCGTATTTGCTGCCCTAAAGGGTACGGTTTTTGCGTCATACCGGTCCAAAAACAGTTGGCCGGTATAGATTTTGCCCAAATTTTATCAGGAATCGGGTATGGAAGTGTAGAAAGGTATTTGTCGTTTGAATTCAAAATGAGTAAGAAGGAAAGATTAAACTCAAATGGAAGTTTTTAAATTTCCAAATAATTATCTGCAGAGAAAACAGAAGATCAATATATATATTTGGTACAAAACGCTATCGTGAATTTAACAAGCTTCCAGTTTCCATATGCAATAATAAAACTTTTTGATGCCCTATTTCTTCCTTATATATTACTAAGCCGTAAAAGTAAATTTTTATGAAAGGACAACTAATCTTTCTGCAAAACGGCAAGACATAAACACTGTTCAATGTTGATGTCTTCAATTTTCTAATACAGGAATACTTTTTTAAAGCGAGTCTAGAAAGGAATGGACGTTGTTGTAGGTTGGTTCTCGTTGTCCGCAGTCCGCAGTCTACAGTCTGTGTTGATAATGACCGATTGGAAATTATATAGCCAGAGTGCCAAGAGAGGGAGACAATGATTCGGTTATGTTCAATTTCCGAAGTCAATCGAATTTTTGAAGGTCAATTACAAACGTTCGATTGACTAATGCGCGGCAGTAAATTAAGCCAAATAATATTGATTTGAATTACTTCCAAAAAAAAAAATGAAAGTTCCTCCCTCCTGTATCCATACATTTGAAAGGTACCTCCACCCCCCCTCCCCCCGAAAAAAAAAAAATAATACTCTATTAGTGATGTACGGTGCAGCTTCTTCTTACTTTTCTCGCTCTGTGGTTATTACTGTGTCATCTTAAGATCCACACACAATCGATCGTTATTTTTACTTTCAGATATTGTTTAAGAGGCAGATTTCTTAGCAGTCTACTTGCGCTGAGGCAACAATGAAGTGCGCCTACCAAGAAATCTCGAGAGCGTAGCATTTAAGGCGGGGACTTGTAGTTGTGAGTTTAGCTTTCTAATGTGTATTCTTAGTGCCTCAATAAAAAAGGAAGTGAATGAAGAGAAATAATGGAGAAAAAAGGCTCATACTTATGTGTTTGCTTTCAGTTACATTGCCGAGTATAGTATGCTAAATAATATAGTCTACATACAGTGGCAGACCTCAAGAGATCTAGAGGAGGACCCCGGACTCTCAACTTATTTTCAGCTTTTCTTTTAGGCCAAATTGGGGCCCACAGGGAGCAAAAAAAAAATACCAAGGCCGGGCCGGTTCCCCACTAGCTCTGTTGTCGTCTGTTATGTGATTTCTCTAGCCTATGTCCTGACCGGTGCCTTACCAGGCCTTCTGGGTCAATGCATTTCGGTGACGTACTGACAAGGCGAACGGTGGACTACGTGACCCGAAACACATGGGCCGCGCAGAGTCGCCTTGGCCCAGGGACTAGGTACAGTGCGCGTGGTGCTCTTTGACTTTAGGAAAGCATTCGATCTCATCGACCACGCCATTCTTATGGCTAAACTTACTGATTATGAGCTACCACCTTGGGTGCTGGATTGGATTGCAGATTTTCTTACTGACAGGAAGCAACGAGTGAAACTCGCCCACGATGGCTACTCGGATTGGGGATCTGTCAGGGCAGGTGTCCCGCAGGGAACCAAATTGGGGCCCTGGCTCTTCCTGGTAATGATAAATGACATCAATGTCAATGGCGTCAACCTTTGGAAGTACGTCGATGACACATCGATGGCCGAGACAGTCCACAAGGGCCAACCAAGTGGAATCCAATTTGCTGTAGACGACCTAGTTAGGCAAGCCGAAATAGATAAGTTCCAATTGAATGAGACCAAGTGTAAAGAGTTGCAGATAAGTCTCTCAAGGTCTGTAGATCCTTTCGAAGCAGTTACTATTAACAACAAACCAATCGAGGTTGTAACTAGCGCAAAACGTCTTGGTCTCACAATTTCAAACAATCTAAAGTGGAACGCTCACATAGAGAATGTTATCAAAAAAGGAGCCTCTAGGCTATATCTATTAAGGCAGCTTAAGCGTGCAAAAGGAGATCCTGCGCAGCTACTTTGTTTCTATACTACGTGTATCCGGCCCATGTCTGAATATGCCTGCCAAGTTTTCCACAATGGTCTGCCTGAGTATCTCTCTGAAGAGCTAGAGAAAATTCAGCGCCGTGCACTTAGAATTATTTTCCCAGATTCAGGCTATCAAGAGGCTCTCAAAGAGTGCAATATTACCACCCTCCATCAACGGCGCCAATGGCTGACAGAGCGCCTATTCAATGAGATTAAGGACAACAGCCTCCACAAATTACATGGCCTTTTGCCGCCACGTAATCTTAGTACTGTATCCTTAAGGAGAAAGCGCGCTTTTAACGTGCCTCTTTGTAGAACAAATAGACTAATGAATAGTTTTATCATGCATAACGCGGCTATTTTCTAATGGTTTTATTGTAAATTCGCGGCTATTTTCTTAAATTTCATGACGTAGTATCTTTGTTCCTTTGTTTTATTTATTTACTGTTATTGATTTATAATAGTTAGTCTTAGTATTCAACGTATTGTACAGTCCGTAATCCAGCCCTTGGGCTGCAATGGATTTTTAATAAAGCTATCTATCTATCTATCTATCTATCTATCTATCTATCTATCTATCTATCTATCTTATACTTACAGATGATGAGAAGCCTTTCCCAGTATACTGTGATATGGCCGCTGGAGGTAAGTAATTCAGTTTCATCTTAATTGATTCGTTCAGCGAGAAAATTGCATTTCCGCGCCCATGAAATACCTAAAAGAACGCCGTCTCTAACATCATGTAAAACATAATGTTAGTGTTAATGAAAATATAATTGGAATTTGCAAATATCTATAGACTGGGACGTGAAAACTTAAGTATCCAAAATAGATATCACTCTGCTTCGGGCGACTCGGAAATGGGTGTTTTGCATACATAGTTAAGTAAAGTTGGTAAATTCGAAGTAAAAGACTCGACCTTGTGGTGTGCCCGAATATTTTAAATCCGGAAGAGTCTAAAGTGACTACTCTGTATCCGAATGAAAGCTATTGACTGTTAAAAATTCATACTTGGCTGTGAGGGCTGGGGGAATAAAAGAAAAGAAATCATCTTATTAGGCTCAGCAATGAATAGTACAATTCGTTTGTATTATTCTCCCAAGCCTCGGAGCCAAGTATGAATTGTAATACATCATGATCAAAATTGGTCTATTCCTTTGTTCTTACAGACTTTTGTTTCTTCTGCTATTTATAGGGTGGACTATGGCATTTAGGCTGTGTCTGGAGTGAATAAAAACGTGTATAGTACATACACATCTGACCAGACATACTCTGAGAAAGTCTTTGCAGCTCTTGAAGTCACTAACAGGCACTTTAACCACTACAAAAACAGGATCGTTTTAAAGTGGCAAGACATTGGACCAACGGAGGTATTACATATTTTATTTTATTTCTGCTGTAATATTGCATTCATAAATCTGCCAGTAAAATGCTCTATAACCTGCATGACAGACAGGGAACCCTCACAGGGTCTCAGAAGCTTCTGCAGCTTGCTCGTGGGCTACGAGAGAATATGTGGAAGCGTACGTGAAAGCGAGTGACCTGGAGCGTCTGAATATCAGGCTAGGCAGACGTTTGATGGGGAAGGAAAAGGCGGCAATTCGCGCGAGTACCTTCATCCTCGTGCGTCGTTCGCGATCTCGCTCGCCTTTATCCCCCCTTGCCCTTTGCAGGGTATTGATGAC